CTCCAACAGTATTTTCTCCACCAATTTATAAAGTGATAAATTAAGCGATAAAAAGTCATCAAAAAGTGATAAATTAGGAGTACTAGTAGAATTATTAAAGCACACGCAGATGTCCTTAGGATTAAAGGAAAGCAAAGAAACCCAACACCAAGGCAAATCTCGCTACCACCCTTCAGCACGCAGAGAACTTGCGGGGAGCTGGGCAGCAGCGTCTTAGAAACTCTAATAAGCCTCTTTTCTCTCTGGGCATAGAGAACCKCAGAGACTTGTAATTAAGCCATACCTAGGTTTACTGTCACGGAAAAGCCAATGAGTAAAAAGGCAAGCTCTTCAGCTAATTTCACATCCCTATTCCAAAGTCCACCCACTCAAAACTCTAACAATGAACTGCAATGACAAATATGAATAAAATCAAACTTGGTCAAGTGACCAACATGTAACTCGAAGTTCTACTGGAGCTATTTTGATATTTTAAATATAGCAATGTTTAAGCAGCAGAAAATATGCTTAGGTGTGAGTCTCAGCTACAGGTGTTGCTACCTGAACTATAATTAAGGCACCAAGTTCCTGTGATATTAGAGAGCACTTCCTTTCTCCAGCATTTGTATTAGCTTCCAAATCACTTTTGAGCACAGATTAGAGGCCTCTCTCCCCAGCACCTCACACTTGGCATAGTGACTTTAAACATGCATAAAGAGTATAATGGGTATAATTTCTCATTCACTTTGCACACATATAAATGATTCCACAACCAGAAAGCACCTACTGTGCAGAGTAAATCAGTTAAGTGCAGGGCACATGCCCCAGTTATACTTCCTGGCACTCCTAACATCTTCTCTTGAAGCTTTGGGACTTCAGCCAGGACACAGGCAGCTCCTCARTCAGGATCTCCCCTCCCTTAAGGTGCAGCAGAGCCTGAGTCCTGCTGTTCACATGCAGCTTAGTATATGATACAAGTATACAGAAGGAAGCTTTTCCAAGCTCCAAAGCTATCACACACTTCTTGGATGCTGTATAAATCAGGATGGCACAGCAAGGGTTTGACCTACACCCTTTCACAAGGGCTTACTCAAGTCCTCGTCACCAAATACAGAGAGTGCTCATCTTTTCAAACACATCTCCTACCACACATGAAATGATTCAAGCTCTTTGTAGCTCTTCTATGTGTAGCAGAGGTTATTGCCACCAAGAGAATATTTCAGCTTCCCATTCAGAGCAGCAGTCTGAATCCAGATCCAGAATTTTGCCCTGGGTCTCCTGATCTTAAGGACATGAGTGGTGGGAATATGCACTAGTGCATAAGAGCATTTATATAAGAGGGCAAGCAAAATCTGGTTGGCATTTTCCCCAAGAACTTCATTSCAAACATACTGCACTGAAAAAACTGTTTACTCAATTACCATATATTCAAAAAACAATAACTATATGTCTCTATGTATAYCTACACAGAGAAATAAAGATGAAAAGAATATACATAATACATATGATATCTAAATGACTCCATTAAGGATCAGTTATTTTGCTTTTCATCCAATAGGATTATTTTCTCCTGGATTTTTTAAATTTGAACTGATTTCATATTTGAACTGATTTATTTCACTCATATTAAGAATAGGCCTTCTCAATATAAATAAAATTTGGAAATTACTGAGGCATTGTTTTATACAGATATGTACTAACCACCGAAGAGGTAGAGCAGGGTAGAGGGTTCTCTGGTGAAAGGCCAATTAACCTTAAATCTTCTAATTAGGATGTCTAAAGTTAAATAYGAAGTATGTTATCTCACAGAGATACTGCCAGGTTGCAGTATCATTTATTTCTGGAAGAATCCAGACATCCGTTAGCTCCCCARGAGCTACCTGGCAGTGCTGAGGTGCCTCCTTGCTATGTTAGACAATCCCGGGGAAAGGAAAGCGAGGGAACAAGAAAAGGGGACAAAGTGATAATGAAAACACTATTTTTTTTTTCTTTTTATCAAGGGAGAGCTAGTGACTGACACTACACTGAAGATGGTCTGGTCAGTTTTTGACTAAARCAGTGTCTTTAGCCTGACAGCTTCACCCAGGCATCGCACCGGGAGCGCCAGTCACCTCAGGCACCAAGCTAATCTGAGAGCAATAGACAGGAGTGCATTTAAGCTGGTCCCAGCTGAAGAGCAGAGAGGTCCATGGATAAAGCCAGAGAAAACAAATGTAGATAAAAACAGCTGGGGAAAGATTCTCTTGCAGAGCTCATGGATTTCACTGATGGAAAGTAGGATTAAAGCAAAGTACTGTCTAGTCCCTGCTCGCTAGTGCACTCTGGGGATTTGATGTTCTGGATACGCATTTCATGACAACAGATATTAGGTCCTCAATTGCACATCTTCCATCTTGCATTAACTTGCATACTTCTATATTATTATATGTTTAATAATTTCCCCAGTGCTTTYCCTATTCAGAAACACCCATGTTTAAAAGGCCTGTACTTACGCACTCCAACATCACTTAAAGAAACAAGGGAACACCTGGCAAGCTTTCCCGAGAGTATTTCACCACTTGAGTCCTGTTTTTCCATTTGCCTTTTTTAAGATTTCTTATATCACTTCAAGACTGGAGGAGATATTCAACACATTACAGAACTACTGGCTTTCCTTGCTATACCATTTCCTATCTTATATTCATTATTCTGACGTTGAGGATGATCTTTATTTGAAAAAAATTATCAGTAGACACCAATTCCCAGACTCCCAAAGAAACAAATAACAACAACTCTGAGCATTTAATACTATTCCTTTCTTCAATAAGATTCTCTGGAATACTAGCATTCGCATTATAACAGTGTTAGCAGTACCGGTAGACTTCAGATTTGAAGGCAACAAATAATTCAGAAGAATTTACGCATCCTCAAATGATTCCTCAAACTAGTCAGCTCCACCCTGTCTGACAGGTTGCGCTGGACATTGAAGTTTTGACTTGCTCTAACTTCTGCATTAGTAGAAACCTTAAAGCTCATTAAAGTTTACCTGGTTTATTTTCATCTCCTTGAGAGCTCAGTCAAGTGCTGGCTGCCTTCAGAAGTAAGGCCTAGCAGGATATTTCTGAGAGCTTTGTCTAAAAACATCAGAAACTGTTGAAGAGTGCCTCCTATGGAAATCTCTTCGCAAGATATAGTAATTATATTATTTTTATGTTATGGCAGGCAGGTTACTTTCACCCAAAGGTGACATCTTAGAGCCAAGAAAAATCTGCATTATTAACTAGCAATTTGAGATTTGAATTGAACCTAGGTGTTATTTTTATTTCACRGTCCTGTTGCAGCCTCCCTTGAACCTCCAAAAGCAATTACAGTCCATACAGCAATYATGTGCCTGCAGCTACAGAAAGATTCTTTCAGATTGCCCTCGGGGGCAAACTTGAATTGTTGCTGGCTCTGCTCTGCTAAAATGGGGCCTTATGTTTCTTTTAATCCTGGAAGATTGATACAGGTGGCTAAGAACTATTCTGCTTCAACTGCAAGCTCACAGCTTCAAAAACTACATAAATTCTTTAGAAAAGCCTTGCACACAGGAARGAGCAATGACATTTGTGAGAGGAACAAAATCTAGGACAATTACATCACTTTTAAACTTTCTGGAACATGTTAGTAGAAACACGATATTTCTAAACACAATTAGTATGACCAATACAAAACMAAAAAGAATAAACCAATAAACCGCCCACCTACCCCCACACAAAAACACCCAACAACAACCCCAAAAAAGGAATGCTGTGCAATGAAATATAAAACACTTGCGATCTGCAGCAAAAACCCCGTGACAGGACACAGGGGTCTCTCTATGGAGATGCACTGGCCACTGACGTGCATCACTGTCATGACAGGGACCCTTCTAGATAATGCCTCATTGCTGCTGAATAGGACTGACCAAGTTTGGCAGCATTTTAAAAGCTCGAACATATTTAATTGTAAATAAAATTACTTTTTAAAGTAATGCATAAAATATTTTTAAAATACTATTGTAATGGCTCACTATATGCAAATACTATTCACATTAAGGGGAAAAAATCAGAAGGCATAGCCATGTTTTTCTAGATAAAACTTGATAAAACCTATATTTGTGAAAAAGACCCATAAAATAATTTAAAAATATTTGCTTGAGGCTACTCTAATACTATATACATACCCTCCCCACCCACACATATGTACACACACATATATATGTATGTAGTCATCTGCTGTTCACACCCCAGTTTGTTTTCCATCACATATGTTGTTGAACAACATGTGTATGAACAAGGTGTCTTTCCCTGAGGTCTTCACAATCTTCCCGCCTTAGGTTAGCTGGATTTATCTGTTCATTTTATCAGCACAGATACTGTTTTGTATTGGGCTCTAATATTTATAAACAACAGTGCTGGCTTGGGTACTACCTCGTGATATTTGCTGTGTGTTTGAATCTTCTGGATTCCACCTGAATTCTGCTCTTCCTTGGGAAATGGGTGTCCTGATACTCTTAGAGGAGAAAATAAAATGGGAGATCTGAAAACAAATCAAAAATCAATTACTGACACAGCCCTGCCCTAAAGAACAGTTGAGACATAAATAATTGAGCAGGCACCTCCGAAAGCACGCATTATTTGTGAGGAGCATCACGACCAGCAATGGAACAGGAGGCTTCCACCACCAAGCCCTCAGGTGCCTCAGAAAGACTGCCAGGGCATTTGCAAGTGATGAAGAACAACTTGGTAAGAAGGCAACCTGCTGTGCTATACAAGAGAGGTTACCCTTGAAACCRCAGTTCAAGTCACCTCCACGAACTTGTAAGAGTGTTCACTTTCACAGCGTGGAAAATCCACCAGTTCTTGAGGTACACCAGCTCTGAAGGAGGAATAAACATTTATTCACCTGCACAACATCTAGTAAGAGAGTCTAATGCACCCAACCAAAAAGTACTCTAACACACAGAAAATCTACAGGGGTTTTAACACAATTTTCTTTCTCTGTATGTTTTTATTTTACAGGCGATTACGTAGTCATGTCTGTCTTCTTTAACCTGAGCAGGAGGATGGGTTATTTCACCATTCAGACTTACATTCCCTGCACACTTATCGTTGTGCTGTCCTGGGTCTCTTTCTGGATTAACAAGGATGCCGTTCCAGCTAGAACATCACTGGGTGAGTTGTTGCATCTCCCTGCTTTTATTCCAGCCTCACGATGGATCTGACACCTCTGCAGAGCACCAGTTTGTAATGCGAGATGGAGATTCACCTAAGTTCTTCTTACTGCTTAGACTGAAGTATTCATTTCCAAGATATAACATAACCTAAATACTATTTACATCTCTTCTAACTATGGTGGATGCTAACTTGGTCCATTGTAAATTGGCYGCAATAAAAACTCATTTTCTTGCCAGTAATTTCAGCATTTCTAGAAATCAAAAGGATGAGTAGAATTTCTGGATATAGGTCTAGGTACTTCTTGGCTTTATTAGTTCTAATTCTACATGATGGCAAGCAGCAATAGAAATGAAATCAATATCAGGAATCATTCTTTCCTTCCGTTTGTATGACAAAACATTAGAGGGGACAGCATAKCATACTAAGTTCTTTAGGAAACATAGGTCAGATAGATTTCAAATCATTAATAAAAAAATATGGTGGTATTATCTAAAATCCTGTGTCCTTCTGTCATAAATGTGACATGCAGCTAATGAGAAGTAACAATTTCTATACAGTAGCAATTATTCCACAACTAAAAGACAATTACTTTTGTCACCTGATACATTTCTGTTTTTTTCTATATACCAGGTATCACAACTGTCCTGACAATGACCACCCTAAGTACAATTGCTCGTAAATCTCTCCCAAAGGTCTCCTATGTGACAGCAATGGATCTTTTCGTGTCAGTTTGCTTTATTTTTGTCTTCTCTGCACTGGTGGAGTATGGAACTTTGCACTATTTTGTCAGTAATAGAAAGCCAAGCAAGGATAAAGACAAAAAGAAGAAAAATCCAGTATGTATCTCTTTTTACTACCACAGTACAAAACTTGGTTAGGTTTGATAAGAGAACATTTAAATCCCACTTTATAGTTATATTATTTTAGATTTGCTATCATGCATATATTTTTATTAGCTATTAATAGAAATGCAAACGTCCACCCTGAGAATGTAAAGCTAATTTATTACAGTATTCTGGATCCACRATCCACAGAAACTAATTTCTTAGAATCAGGATCCTTCTAACCAAAGTATTCTGCACGTCATAACTAAATCRGTATTTACGTTGCAGACAGAGCTGTTGCTGTGACCCTTCTAGCAGAACTAAAACTCTTTCTCTGTCTTGACTTTGGTGATATTCTCTGCCTTGAACGGGATGTCTGTATTATTGACTTGATTTTGTTTATATTATCAGGATTACAATTAATCTTCTATATTCTATGGCATGTACTTTTTCYAATTCCCCCTTAAGCATCTGTTTCCTTCTCATTGTCTCCTTATCTTCTTTTTCTTGAATTTTCTCCCTCTTTTATCCATTTCTCTTCCTTAGAAAATGATTTGGTTAGCAGCTTGCAATATTATTTGTGGGTATATGGCACAATAACAGAAAATAATATAGAAACATTCTATAGAAACATAATAYAGAAACAGAAAATAGCCACAATAAGGAATCCTGAAAACAGCATCTATGGAGGCTGAGAGGTTTGCTAAGCAGGAAAAAAAAATGTTGCCTATTTAGTCCAGGGCAGACTTCTCCCTGCCTTCTGCAGCTCAACTGACAAGTCTGTTGTCTACAGTCCATGCGTGGCATGAAAAGAACTAGTTTAAAATACTAGGGGGAATAAGAAGTAATAAACTCTTTCAAAAACCAAATGTGCCTGTATAAAAGGTGAAGGACACAAGTGCTTTATATTTGTAGAGAGCATTTTCAAATCTATTTCAAGCACCAAGGAAACAAAATAAATGCGTGCATTCATCCTCCTAAAGTCTTCAAGGACTTCTTATACTGGTAGAAACAGACCAATGYAGAGAAATATTTTAATTACAGACCATTTTACTATACGTTATTCTTATCACATCCCTAAAAGATTGTTCAGAAGTATATTCAAAATAAAATGTGCTCTCTACAGTGGCTAAACAGCCAAAGTCATCCATGAGTTTATAGCCCAAGAATTGGCATCTAGCTTTAGATATGTTAGAGCTAGAGTTTAATTCATGGTCATTAAAAAAAAAGGCATTTCTGTAGAGCCATTCATCCATCCATTTTGGGGATGAAGACAACTAGCTGTCTTTGAACACCTCTGTCTTTCACCAGCAATACAAGGAAAATGATCTCAAATTTAGGAGTCCTACCTAGACAGGTCCATATCAGCTGAGGTTAGTTGTACTTTGTTACATGTGAACTTCTGGGGACAAAACAGAAGTCTAAATTACAGTCTAGTTCCTAAATGCAGAGTCTGCGCAACTTAAGAGCAGAGCATTGAAGACTTATCTACAGATAAAAATATCACCATTTTATATGTGCATTCATAAAATGCAAATGGTCTCCTCTTTCAAAACAGTCCAGTATAATAGACTGGAATACCCAGAGAATATGAAGAGACCTAAAATATGTTTTATGTCTTTTTTTTTTTTTTTCCCCCAAATAGAGCTACAAGAAAGTGAGAAGACAAAAATGTGTTTCTATATTATAGATACTTGTGTAAAGGACTATTACCCCACCCTCTCTATAAATTTAGACTTTTTAGACATACTGTGTTTTAGAAACATATTTTTAATTTACATTATTTTTGTCTCTTTCTTTCCTTTCTTTAATTTAAAAAATCCTCTGATTCTCTTTTCTGTCTACAAACTGAAAGCTTCTTCGGATGTTTTCCTTCAAGGTATAATGTTTTTTGGAATGGAAATTCACTGCATGCAACTGCTGAATTTAACTATTAGAGCTTATATAAGAGTGTTGTTGTTGTTTTTTGTTTTTTAATTAGTATTAGCTTAAGCATTCTACTCAAGGTAAATTCCTAATTAAGTAGAATGGTTATCTATTTCAGAACAGTGAGTAGAGTTGATTCAGCAGCCCAAATATTGACTCACTATGGTTTTGAACTTAGCTTAAGTTCAAGAGTGACTAACATTATTGGATCTCATGAATCGAGAGTTTAATGTTCAAAATATTTGTATTTCTCTTTTTCCATTTCCCATGGGATCCAATGCCACGAGCTACACTAAAAACCTGCAAAATACCCTTTTAGAACTCATCTCTAAGCCCTCTTCTTAACCTTCTCTGTTTTATTCTAAATTACAAAACCAAATTTATTCTGATGTTGAGCTGAACAGAACTCAACTCCATCTCAAATGCTATTGCTTACGAGAGAGTCAGAGTTTCGAAAGGGTTTAAGATGCACACATTTTTAATGCTTTCACTATATCAGCACACCCTTAGAAAATTAGAAAATAGACTTGATTACGTATCTGAATTCTTATCTTCATTCACAAATGCAGAGATTTTCTTCTAAAACTATTAAAAAATAGATTTGCATTCTTCTGAGAAGGAATGGTTATTTTACCCTAATAAATATCAGGCAGAAATTGTGAGGWCTGTCTTGCTGTCATCCCAGTGTTCACCATGTRCTCAAATGAGCTTTAAATGCTTTATTTGCTCAACTCATTCCAAACATACATATGTGCAGCTACCATAACTTGACACCACCAGCTCGCTGGTGAACAGTAGTAGATGCCTATCTAGATATATTCACACAATCTATTGGTTGTGAGACTGACCTAACATACTTTAAAAGACCTAGTTCTTGCCTTTTTTTCTTATATATAATATTTGTTCCCATCTCACTATGAGGCAATCCTGTACTAAAGAAAATCCTGCATTTCCAGTTCTTTTCCTTCCCTGTGCAACACCCAGATTGTCTTCACGTATCAAGCAACTATGTAAACTATAAAACATAAAAGTCAGTTGCATTCCTCTTTCCTTTAACCGGAGGGACTTGTCCACAGTTAACTTGAGATTGATCTATTCTGCTGATCTCTAAAGTTAAAGTGTTTGATGCAACTGATAAAAGCAAGTCCAAGGTAGCATTGCCATTAGAAGCCCTCAGCAATTTCCTGTATGYCCCATGCAGAACTATCATTCCCATGTTGACCATTAGTTTCTACTTTGCTGGTAGACCTGGTGATAATAACCGTGTCCTTCCCCTTCCCACATCTTTTCCTTTTTCTGCCACTCCACCTTAGGCCCCCACAATTGACATCCGGCCTCGATCAGCTACTATTCAAATGAACAATGCTACACACCTCCAAGAAAGGGATGAAGAATACGGGTACGAGTGTCTCGATGGCAAGGACTGTGCCAGTTTTTTCTGCTGCTTTGAGGATTGCAGAACAGGCGCCTGGAGGCACGGCAGAATACACATCCGCATCGCCAAAATGGACTCTTACGCCCGCATCTTCTTCCCAACTGCCTTCTGCTTGTTCAACCTGGTGTATTGGGTATCATATCTTTACCTTTAAAAGCAGAATGAAATCAGTGATACGAGCCTTACTCACTGAATTTCTTAGAGAGATGGTTTCCTAAGTCCACTTGAAGTATTTATGATGCGCTTTATAGTGGTCTGAATTCTTTAGTGCCATAACCCAGTAAATATCAGTCACATCATTTGTCCAAAAATTGCCATGAGGTTATTTGTGAATTAAATGTCCATTCAACATGTTGAAACAATTTGAAATAAAGGTCATCGAAACAGGTTATATACAGCTATACCTGTTGGAACAGAGACGAGCAGGGCAGACAGGGCAAGGGGAGCACRGTGACACGACCTAGAAGGTGGTACTGCCGTTGCAAACAAGAGCGACCAAGACTAGCATTCCCAGGTCAAGTACTGTACAGTTTGCTAACATTGGCTATAATTATGCTATAGCTTTATTCTCTGTGGGCTTTTCTTTTTGGAAGAGTCATCTCTCACTTGGAATAGGTATTAAGCTAGGAAAATAACTTCTACTCCCACCCAGATAAAAATAGACCTCTCCCTTTGCCATCCCTTTAAGAGCACATGTACAATGCTGTAAATATTTCAGTACCTTAGAGTACATAAAGTCTAGTGCATGCATCTTTTGGGGGCCAAAATAAATGAAGCAAAGGTACCATAAAGTATTGTCTTTTATTTTGTGTCTCTGGATGTGCTATTGTAACCGAAATGTGGATAAAAATCATATTTTTTTCCCTTGAAAAAATATCCCCTTCCCTCATGCATGAAAGATCTAAACAGACAGCACTTTCATGTAAGACATTAGAGAAGCCTTAAGGATTCAAATAAATAACATGTAGACAACCCTGTATGGCCAATATAATAGTTTATAAAGTATACTATATGTGTCCACTGCTGTTGTAGCCTTCATTTTCCATTGATAATGTTGCTATATTTCAGATGAATTTCCAATAATTATGCATTGCAAGGTCAGCAACAAAAATTAATCCATGTGCTTCTCCTGTTCTTTTCCCATGAGCTTTGCTATTTTTCCTCACAGTTCCTTCTGGACATTACTTTTATATACAAACTTGAAGTTCATTTTGAAGCACTAAACTTTTATCACGTGTACATGTACAATTCAGTGCCCGTTCATTTCCCTGATCAGCAATAGTTGTTTGTTGTCAGTGCTGCTTTTCACTCTGTGAGTACCTTTACTAAAACCAACCTTTATCATGGCTAGCACACAGTTTATATATAACCTTGAAAACTAAAGGGAACAGAAGGCATCTTGGCTACTAAACCATATGTATGCAGTTTTTGTGTATTTAAAACCTACAGCCCATCTGGGTGAATCTTGAAATCCACTTATCCACTGGTTTTAAGAACCTGTACAATGCTCAATTATGCAACCTTAAGCACATGTAAATATTACTGACTTTTTTATTTTCAGAGATATAAAATGTCACCTTCAAGAAAGCAGGCTTGCAGATTGCAATGAGATATATGTAACTTCTCATTACAGAATTATTAATAGCTAAAATGGAGGAAAAGGAAAGTTTTCCAAAGTTTGTATAGTTTTGGAAATAACAATGTATAAAACAAGTATAACTCTTGATCATCAATTGCTCCTTGTCCTATGTATTTGAGAACCTTTTAATAAAGGAATTGCACACATCTGTGGACTTTTTCAATAAAATTGCTGCACTCAATTGCACAGTCTAATGTGGTTGGTTTGTTAAAAGCCTGCTTCAAAGGACTAGACTCATCTCGAATTCATCAGCTGCCTAAGTCTAAGTGATTATAATCATCATAACACTCTGCMTTGCCTCATTTTGTAGTCAAATGGCCCACTCACATAACCTTCACTGTTGGGGTCTAAATCTTTAGAACAACCTTGAAGACTRCTCTCTTCTCCAAAACATCACTGAAACAGAAGTATCCTGATAAAGAGGGATTACCTTTGCTTCTCTACTTAAAATACTGAGTGTCTCCATTCCCTGAATGGGTGGCAATCCCCTTTCACAAGAAAACAGGTTTCAGCCAGTGCCAGACAGATCGTTGAGCAATCAATTCCTGCAGCGGTCAGTGATTTAACAGCTTTCTATTAGTTCATTCCAGTTAAYGAGAGTAGCTGATGACATACATTTAAGATGGTTATTTTCACCTGCAACTTCCACATGTTATCAAACAGGCTTTACTCAGATCATTATGAGTTTCTCCCTAAATCAAGACTTTAAGCCTCTCAGAGACAGGGTACTGCAATCAACATATATCGATTTCTTTTCTGTCAAGGTTTGTGAAATTCAGGATTCAGCTGTTCAAAGTATTTTTCCCTAATTCAGTCATCTCATGCTTCCACAAAGCCTGCTGCCCTGAAGAATAAGATGTAATAATGAAGTGTGAATTATTAGGAATATGAGATCATATTATTCACTCGTGCAGCCTGGTACTTCTTCCAGCAAGGATGGCTCCCATAAATTTCATGAATATATCCACCATCAATAGCACACAGTGTGCAAAACTAAGGAGTAATCCAAACCTGCAGCTAAAGGCTCACCTATCAGCAAACAGAGAAAAGGAAATAAACCCTTCATCAGTCATAATCCAACACTTGGGATCCTGCCAGCCTTTAGTGGATTAGYCTCTTACTCCTGGGGAAGACTAACTGGATTCAAAACAATAGTTCTTGCAGAAACCTGTAATTCCTGTTGAGGAAGTGACATCAAAGCAGAGTCTGGTGTTGACTGGGCAAAAAGTGTTCTCTGAACAGGGATTATGCCAGCAACTCAGCACCTAAGAGTCGACCTCTGGATTGTTAAATCACACTGCCATCCCAGTAAGCAACGCAGCAAGTGAAATGGCATTTGGGTGTGATGAGGATTGTTTTGCTCTCAGAACAAAACAGTTGAGAAATATTTTTATGTAGACACACACATATATAATATATATTAATCACTCCCCAAGCTGAAATCTAGGGAAAAGATTTCCTCCTAGTGCTAAAACGTTTTCGTGGCCACCATCCCACAGGCTGCTGCCAGTGCCCTGGGACAGGCCTGTGAGCTTGGCATCCGGCACACAGCAAGAGCACAAATCTCCACAGGCTGTCTGCGCTCCAGGAGCGGGTAGATGCCCCAACTGAGACAGGGTACTGCTGACTCCAGGATAGTGTCCARCGTGCCAGAGAAGACTCTTGAATCACGTACAAACCTTAGTCTCTATTGTGTCAATAAACAGCTAGAACTCAAGAGAGATCACATGACTTAACACCATGCTGTCCTGTTGCTGATGTTAGGCAGCAATGCAAGACAGGATGTATTTCAACTRGTTAGTCTTGAAGGATTTTAATCTCAAAGGTTCACACTAAAGCCTCCTAAAGGTGCAGTTCTCACCACGGATGATACACACAAGAGCACACACTAAAGCCAGTGACTTTTTTCACTTGCCCACACATTTTGATTCTGTATTTCCACCTCATTTTGCACACAGGCAGATAATCCAGGCTGCTGCCTCTCTGTAAAGCCCAGTCTTGTTAGGTTTTCTTGTGTACAGCCTCTGGCCTCGCTCAGCCCCTGCAGCCGTAGGGAAGGGGCAGGAGGAGCTGCAGAAACCACAGCTGTAGCTACAGCCTGTGCAAGCACTGCAGGAATCACTGCTTTTCCTTAGCTCTCCGTTATCCTCTTTTTCCATAAGGAGCATAAAGGCTGCAGCCACACACAATCTGCTGTACGGCTCAAGGACAAACTTCTGCACATTTTGACAAGAGGTGGGAAATATTGCTCTCCTTGACCCTTGTAGGATTTACATTTTCAAGAGAAGCTAAGCAGGTCCCATGTCTGTCCCTCAAACATGACTGCACTGGTCAAACATATTATGCGCATCACCTATAGCGGCAACTATTTGAGATACAGGAGATACCAGGTCCTTTCACTGTTAAAAAAGTCCCATTAAACTTGACAAACACAACAAAGATCAGGAGATCTGTGCCCCCAAAGCTGTTCAGTCTAAAAACACAAATAGAAAAAAAAAAAAAAAAGCTATAAAATACTTAGTATTGTAGGAAGCTGATCAAGCAGACTTTGTGAACTGAACAAATTCTAGTATGTAACGTTACTATACATGGAACTACGGGGTGAATGGAAATACCAATAGAAAAGTAAAAAGTAGTTCTAGATTTTCTGCAATGTTTTGTCGGCTTACAAGAGAGATGAACTCTAAATTGGGATTTAAGAGGATAAGGTAGAATGTTGGGCACGTTGTTCTACACACAACAGAAAAGGCAGGGTAGGAAAGAAGGTTTTTATGGGGAAGGCAGGTACATGGGCAATAAAGAAATTATGATGGCAAAAGCCAAAATCAATACCGAACTCATCTGCTTAATCCACCTGCAGAGGATCAGAGAGGCCAATGCAAGAATTAGGTASTAGGAACAAGAACAGCCTGAAGAGTCAGGCCAGAGCAAGACACAGAGGAAGGCAGCAGAGGGACAAGGCAGTCACTAGCAGAAACATTAAAGCAGACTACATYTAAGCAGAAACATCTAGGCAGAAATAATGTCAGTCATGGTTCTCTTCTGATGTGACTAGGGAGTGAGGAGGGTTTAGACGTCACCTGCACACACAGAACTAGCGGTTTGTGATGCTGCGGAAGAGTATGAATGGTTTAGAAATGAATTGCAGGGTCTAAGGTAAGAACCTAGTGAAAGACGAACCCTATTCATGGTCCTCRAGCTGAGGAGCCTACTGTAAATAGGCTAAGGGATAGAAGGCAGAATTCAACTCTAAGTATCAACTCAGAAAGCAAAATGCAAATAAAGAGGATCTGTCTGGATGAAACTTAATTAAAGCCTGAGGGAAAAGYGGTATTTTAAGATGCAAGTGTTGTCTTTCATACAAAAATTCAATTGCTTTGCAAGGAGAATTTAATTAAATCTTATGAAAAARCTTCATAGGTAAATCAGTTTATTATACCCATGATAGAACTATTGTTCCATTTATAAAAATGAAAAGCCTATGCATTTTCCTTCCTTATTTAGAATAAATCTGCAGATAAAAAGATCCAAATTTCCTAGTCATACATTACCTTTTTTTCTTTTTTTTTTCTCTTATAAAGTCAAGATTTACAATGAAAAATGAATCCCTTTAACAAGGTAAGAGAAAGTTCTTGACCTTTAAAGAATCTGAGGTACCAGGCAAGAACTAAAAGCTTTGCTTACAAACCAGCATTCCTCCTTGAATAATGCATTCCAGAACAGTGCATTACTTCAGAGAAATATGTAAAAATGTTTTCTTTTCTTTTCTCATATGGGGGCTGGGTGGAGGGGACAGGGGAAGAAGAAAAGCACAGTATGATAACACTAGATTAGATTTTCTCATTTCCACTTGCATGAAAATCATGTTCATTATCAAAATGGAAAGATGAGAATAAGAAATGAAGACAAATTAACATAGCTTTAATTTAACCAGTATGAAAGACATGAAAAATATTGACCTTTCAACCAGACACATGCTTTCTGATGCTAACATACTGAATTCTATCTGATGAGATTTTATTTCTCTTGCCATCACTGTTTTCYTTTAGAATTTTTGGATATGCTCTTTAAGCCTAGCTATAAACTCAACTGTGAGATGAGGATCAGCTTAACTGTAATTTACCCACAGAAAAGAGCAACTTCTCATTTCATTCCTAGGATGATACACTAAAACAGTGGAACATCTATCCGGTTGATACTTTTAAAAGATGCCTATAAAAATAGTAGCTGAGGCTCTAAAGTGGCTGCTTGGAAATCAGAAAGACTCATTAAAGGGATTTAACATAGCTGGGTGCTTTGCAGGATTAAATAAAATATCCAAACAACACCTCTAAAGTAACCCTACTGCACAACTGAAATCAACTTAAGTAGAAAAAATAAAACCAACAACCCTACGTACTCAAGCATGTTAGTAGTGAATAGATGATGAACAAGGTCCCTTAAATTTGGAGAATTTCTGTTTCTCCAAAAGTCTAGAAATGAATGACTGGAATGATGAGAGAAGCAAAGCCAGATACCCTTTCCCTTTCCATTCTCTCACAGGTTGTTGGTTCTGAAATTCTTGTTTTACTTATACCATTACCTACTTATCTGTTCTATGAAATTTTTTGCAGAAAAATACACTTTATGCTTCTAGCTGGTCCGGCAGCTCTTGATCTTGTTTGTACAATAATTTGGTCCTACAAACCACTGTCCTTGCAGGGTCCTCACAGGGTTACCCAAAATTTGGATGCTTCCCTTTAGCTTCATAAAAATAATTKCCCTTTGAAAACTATTAGTTTTAAGGAAACACCACATGAAATTCTACAGCAAATAGACTTAACATTGGAAAGCCAATAAGCAGATGAACTTAATTCTAGCACTAAGCTTGCATTTACCTCACTTGTTTTCAGCAGAGCTGATGCCAGGCCCCTCTTCCCTC